CTTTTGAATTTTAAGAAGTAGTTTGAGAAGATGTGTTAGTTCTTCTCAGAATGTTTGGTAAAATTCACCTGTGACACTATCCAGTAACTGCTTCAGTTTCACTAGATCTAATCTGTCTGTTCAGATTATCTGATTCTTCCTGATTTAGTTTTGGAAAAATGTATGTTTCTAGTAATTTATGCATTTTGTCCAGGTTGTTGCCATATAGTTATTCATAATATTTCTTTTTAAAAAGATTTTGTTCATTATTAGACGGAGAAGGGAGGGAGAAAGAGAGGGAGAGAAACACCAGTGTGTGGTTGCCTTTCATGCGCTTCCACAACTGGGGACCTGGCCCGAAACCCAGGCATGTGCCCTGACTGGGAATCGAACCAGTGACCATTTGGTTCACAGGCCACATTCAGTCCACTGCGCCACACCTGCCAGGGCAGTTATTCATAATATTTTCTTAAAATCCTTTGTATTTCTTTAGTGTCGGTTGTTATTCTTCCTCTTTCAGTTGATTTTATTTATTTGGGTCCTCTCTCTTTTCTTGATGAGTCTGGTTAAAGGTTTGTCAGTCTTTTTTATCTTTTTAAGTAACCAGCTCTTGGATTCATTGATATTTTGTATCATTTTTAACTATTTCATTTACTTCTGCTCTGATCTTTATTATTTCCTTCCTTCTACTCACTTTGGGCTTTGTTTGTTTTATTTCAAGTTCCTTTAAGTGTAAAGTTAGATTGTTCATTTGAGCTTTTTCTTGTTTTTGAGGTAGGCCTATAACGCTATGAATTTCCCTCTTAGGGCTGCTTTCCCCTTGTCTCACAGATTTTGGGAGACATTTGTTTCAAGGTACGTATCTCTTGATTTTTTCCTTGATCTTGTTACCTAATAAATTTTGATGTTCTTAATTTTTAAGTCACATCTAGAAATTTAGTTATGAGCTAAAGTGTGAAACATTGTATTGGGCTTCTTTCCTCCTTAGACTTTCAAGTAGGAAGGAAAAAAATGGCAATTATTCAAATAAATTAAAAATTACCTTTATATGATCATCTACTAAAAAAGTTTACAAATGTTCATAGTTAGCATTGAATATAACCAGCAATAAAATTTAATGCAAATATGTAGTGTTCTAATTGCAGAAGTGTTCATAGAAATAGCAAAATGTTTGACCAAACAGAACTAACATGTTATTATCTAAGGGGTATTGTTAAATCATCTACATTTATATGAGAACTTTATTATAATTTAGGAGAACTTGGAAAAATAAATAAGTTATGGTGAATTTAATCCACATAATCAATAAAGATGTTTTTGTCCCTTTAATACAAATATATCCTTCATAAAATTCTTCTACCTACGTCAACTTACAGATACTATAATGCTCCAAAATGAATTAGTTCTTCAGAAGAACGTCTATAATCACCTTGAGAATACAACTTGAATTGTGCTAAGCAAGCTCTGCTTCCAAGTACATTCACAAAACTGTAAGACAGTGTGCTTGTTGGGAAATATCTAGAAATTCAAGGTTATCGCTGCATCATACACATCAGTTTGGATATCTGTCTTGATGACTTTCTACCCTTTCAAAGTCTGATAATTCACCCATTTCAAATAAAGTCCACTCCATTATTTATATGTGCTAGGGATTTGGTAACTGCTTAAATACTATCAATGAAAGTGGAAGTCAAGTTCTGATGGCAAGGGGCTATTGGCTCTTTCAGAGGTCTTCTTCCTGTTACAGGTAATGAGGGAAGCAGGAGGATAGTTGTGAAATAATAGTGCTTAGAGAATAGGTCTTATTCAGTAGTCCTTCAGTGTGTGCACCTAGAACTGAAAAAGTTCTCTGCAAGTACCTAAAGTAATGAAGTGCTAAATACTGTGCGCGCATGCGCGCGCGCGTGTGTGTGTGTGTGTGTGTGTGTGTGTGTGTGTGTGTGTGTTTTGCTTGGGGTAGAAATAAACTACTAGGGGTAGAAATTATGTGAATAGCTTTACTTCTCAAGTCTTTTTTAAAAAGAATAATAAGCAGATTAACAAGGTATTTTTATTAGTTAAATAGTGCTGGCTCTCAGTGAGTGTAATTTACCCTGAAGAGCATGGTGGAGAATGAGATGTCCTGTGACATCTCCTGATTTGAAGTGCTGGGATACCATGGTGCAAACCCACCGCTTTACATCAGGAATTCTTTTTCTTTTCACTGTGATCATTTTTTCATAGATTTTATTCCACAAGGTTAAAATCATGACCATGTAAGGAAGGCCCCACAGCTTTATGGGGGGCAGTTGCTATTTTGTTAAGAGTCACTAACTGCATTGAAATCAGTTTATGACTATAGAGTTTCTACGTTTTCTCTTTCAACTTAGTAACAACTGAAAATATTTTGTCTTATCACAGGTAAGAAATATAAAAAGCATTATGCAATTACTAAAAAGAAAAGTTCTTAAAGTTGTCAGAAAGTTATATCTGAACATATTGACCTGTTTTAAATTAGTTGATCAATTGAGAGAGACAAACACTTGAGAGTTTAGCAATATCATGACAGTATTTCAGTGTATCTGAGGTATGGTCTAGAAGCTTCTGCTTAGCCACTCAAATTTATTTCAGAAAGACTCATGGACAACAATGTGGTGATTGTGGGAGCAGAGTATAAGGGGAATAAGTGGTAATGAAAAAATACAACTTAAAGAAAAAAAAAACCTTTACAAGGGGAGCATAACTCCCTACTTCCTAAGTGTGGGCAGTGCATAATGACTTCCTTGCAAAGAGTATAGTGGGGAAAGGGGGGGGAGAAAGTAACTTTACAGTTTATAGTGAAGAAAGTAAACCTTGACAGTTAATAAATATATCAGCCGGGTAATCAGGATCAACATTCACAGTGATGAATCATATTGATAGTGTGGACCCTGGACATGAAGTGGTTAAAACGTTACTCTGCCTCTGTCATCTTCCTTCCAAAAACCGACAACCCCTGTCTAATCATGGGGAAAACATCAGATGAAATCCAATGGTAGTCAATTAGAAAAAAAAGTTTATACGATGTAACTGAGTGTCGATGTGAACACCATCTCAGTTAGATAAAGACAGAATGGCTAAATCTTTCTCACTGTCTCCAGAGTTGGAATTACTTTTTCAGTTGTTGACATTGACTACTCTTATAGAGGTGAGTAACGTTAGGGGAGAAATGGCTTGAAAACAAACTTAAAACTCTTTAGGAATACTAATGTTAGGAAACAGATGAATATCCAAGCTTGCTAGATTGTCGCAGCGGGTGTAAAATTTATGCCCTGATCTCCTAAAAGCTAGTAATTGCCTAGGAAAGGAATCTACCTAATATTTCAGAATAGAATGTTAATGAAGTAGAGCGGCTACTTGATTAATTAGTATGTATTTTATACCAAGTAGCAATCAAGTTAGTTCACAATGTAAAAAAATACAACCTCTTATAAATTGGAAAGCATTATAGAGTTCTGTCTGGAAGGTATCCAGCCATGTAATAAAGTAGAAACATTTATTGAGGAAAATGCAAGATATAAAAAGCATTGTATACAGAACAGTGACACCTCAGTCCTCTTCAAAGTAGTCACCTTGGGACCTCACACAGTTCTCCCAATCTCCATCAGCTGCCCTGTCATATTTTCCTGAATCACATTGATGGTTTGAAATTTCTTCCCTTTCAAAAGCGATTTTAGTTTTCTGAAAAGCCAGAAGTCACAGGACACCAAATCTGGGCTAGAGGGGGGCTGAGTCACCTGAGTGATTTGATGTTTTGCCAAAAACTCTGCACAAGACGTGGTGAGGTTTCCAATTACCAGTTGCCCCTAGCCATGGCCTTCTAAATCATCCAAATAGAAATAGTCTCCATAGAGGAATGTTCAAAGTTAATGCAAAATTTGATGCAGATTCATTGCTCTGTTCACTCAGTCATTTTTAATGCAACGGCCGCATAGCACACATACTCACTCAGTGGTGTCTCCTGCCCCCACTGACTAGTACAGTGAAGTCGCCATTGTTCACACATGCACATTCCAGTCTCCTTGGCTGCCAGGTTACCTCAGTGTCACGCACACAATCTTGTTATATGAACAATGGCTGGATTTTTTTTGGACAGACCATATAATACATAGAAGTACCTTATTTTTAACGTATAATGCACACTTTTGTGCAAATTTTTGAGGGGGAAATAAGGATGCATTTATACATAGGTATAATGATTACATCCCATGAGTATAATAATGAGTTTAATGATCCCATGTATAATGCTCATGAAAACATGGGTGTGCAGTGTACATGGAGTGCAGTATACATGACAAAATACGGTGTTTGTTATTGGCTTTTTGATGCTATCTACCAGGCAAAGTAGAAAACTTGTAGTAGCATAGAAATATATCAGTTTTTTTGCAGAAGCACAGACATTTCTGGATTTAGTTCATTGATTTAAAGTAAAAAACATTTAACAGGGAATTATTTTTCCATATGCAGTTTTGGGAAGAAAGTACTTTGGGCTTAAACCAGTTTACTTTAAATAAACATTTTTTAAACCTTATCTGATTTCATTGGTTTGTAGAAAAGTAGACTACACACTGGATGCGTACATATTTTATATGGAGCAAAATGGCTTCTTACTTCTAGACTGTGCTGTAAATCAAAGAGAGAAGGATAGGTAACCAAGAACAATATGTATTACTGTATTGCGTGTTTTTGGTTTCCTAATGAAGTGTAGACGGATTTCTAGAATAGCGTCTGCACTTGGTTGTTTTTACCGTATACTTTTGCTGTTCTTTTCTCTTAGGCCCTTTCTGCAATATGTAGGAGAAAATTGTCCATTTATTTTTCACATAATACTACCTTTCAGAGACAATGTGAGCTCTTCCCATCTATTAATCGGATTTAACTAAGTAAGTTTATTTCAACAGATGCTCAATGTCAGACACCTTCTCAAAACCAGATGTCTTCCTTATAAAAGGCATTCACTTGACACATTTTTTAAAAAGCATCTGTATCTTTTTTTATTCTAGTGCACTGACAGGCAGAATTCACCAGTCACCTCACCAGGGTCATCTCCCCTTGCACAGAGAAGAAAGCCACAAGCGGACCCTCTCCAGATCCCACATCTGAGCCTGCCTCCTGTGCCTCCTCGCCTGGACCTGATTCAGAAAGGCATAGTTCGCTCTCCGTGCGGCAGCCCCACTGGCTCACCAAAGGTGAGTAGGCTGACTAGACACAGACAGTGATTTTATATGACAGTGGCGACTGCTCGGGTTCTTTTAAATGTCACGTGTCATATTTCTTGTGTTCTTAATTGTTACTGAGCAACTTTGATGGCTTTCTCATTTTGTTTATGGTGAGCCCACTATTACATTCCTTGCTTCTTATTATAAAAGCTCCATGACTTCAAAGACAACACATGTCTGGAATGGCCCCCTGACTTGCTAAAATAGTAGAGTAAGTACAATTATTCTGTAAAATGGTTTTAAAAAGTCATTATATGTATTAAAATACACCTGTGAGACGATATTTTACAGTCATTTTCATAGTGTCATGACAAGAAAAATGTGAGGGAAGTATATTTGCATAAGGGCTTAAGGTGTAATAAATTATCGCCCATGTTTCAAGGTGACTCAGAAGAGGGAATTATATGTACTTTTTATACCTAAAGTAATGAATTATAAAGAATTATAATATTTGCAGAGTAATTACATTACTGTTTAATATTGAAGACATAATTCTAACTCAGTAAATCTAAGCCCACAGTTTTAGTTCTATGTGTTTTTTTTCAAATTTGATAAGGGCATATTTTGCTTTATTAAATACAAGATTTAAAATTAATTCCATTTGGCAATATGCTTTATAGTCTAAAATTACTTGGAAGCTCAATATTTTATTAGTATTTGTTTCTCCATTACAGTTAACTTGGTTTTAAGATCATATTAAGACTTCTTAGGATGTTATTTAGGGAGAATTATGTAAACATAACATATTTCTTTTCTCTCTAATATCAAAAGTACAAATCACTCATCAGGTGAACCAAGTATAGAAAAGTAAAAGCTGTGCAAGTTACATAGATTCAACTCAAGCGCATATATATGCCTTCATATTTCCATAAAAGAATTACTGATTTGTTGTTTACTCTTTTTTCTGTTTTAAGGGTCCCTAAAATTGAAGTGAGGTCTATAAATAATGCTATTCTATTATTTGTGACTTTTCAGTATTCTGGTGGTAACTGATAAAACAAAGAGTCAGAGCAGACCTGGCCCTTATCATTTGTTTCATATTGTAGTGGTTTTGCCCCCAAAATGCCCAAACTAAAAGTCTTTCGAAGTTGCTCTTTAAAAAAGTAAAAGTACAATTTTGTTTGTTCTGTCTCTCTTAATTCATAGAAATGTGCAAATAATTAATGACTCAATATTATTTTAATGTAAACCATTCAAAATCATTGTATAATTTTGGTATTCTGCTATTTTTATATGGTCTTTATAATTTTAATATTTCAGCTTATATACTTATGTCTACAAACATTTCTAATGAAATATATTTATATGAGTCTTCCATTAACTTAAAATTTTCATTAACTGGTAATAAACAGAAACTTAAAGATGACATAGCAATCTCATAAAGCTCCATTATGGCTTAGAAAACAAAAGCAATATACTAGTCTGGAAGTCATTTCAGTGCCTGGTCCAGTGTTGATTTTTTTCCTCTTGTGTCTCTTTAGTCTTCTCCTTGCATGGTGAGAAAACAAGATAAACCGCTCCCAGCACCTCCTCCTCCCTTAAGAGATCCTCCGCCCCCTCCACCTGAGCGACCACCCCCAATCCCACCGGACAATAGACTGAGTCGTCACTTGCACACCGTGGAGAGTGTGCCTTCCAGAGACCAGCCAATGCCTCTTGAAGCCTGGTGTCCTCGGGATATATTTGGGACTAATCAATCAGTGGGATGTCGACTGCTAGGGGACGGCTCTCCTAAGCCTGGAATCACAGCGAGTTCAAATGTAAATGGCAGGCACAGTAGGATGGGCTCAGACCCAGTGCTAATGAGGAAACACAGACGTGAGGATTTGCCTTTAGAAGGAGCCAAGGTAAGACACATGCAAATCTGCTTACACTCTTCTGACAGGAGGTAGTATAAAAGAATGGGCAGTGGTGTTTGTTTGGTACGGTTTGGTTTTGTGTGGTACTTCCCTGCAGGTGTTTAATTAAGTCCAAGTTGTAAATAATCAGAAGCTCATTAAAACTTGAACTTAAAAAATAACAAGAAAAAGGTTCTAAGTAATTATTTCATTTTAATGTGAAGACACTGGACACATTTGCTAGAGATTTATTTCACTTCCCTTGTTTCCATCTGCCAATTTTTTTCTTGTTAGTAACTAGTAGGTAGGGAAATTAGCACTGTTTTTTAAAACTCCCTAGTGCTATCTTATTTGAAAAATAATGTATAACTATAGCATATCATAAATGAGCATTGGAATTGTTGTCTAGGACAATACATCGATGCAAGCAGGTGAAATGAAACTTCTCCAAATGTGAAAACACCAAGTCTGGTTCACTGTTGGAAAGCAAGCGGTTTCTCCATAAACCTGGGCGAGACTCATGTATACCGAGTTCTTGAGGCTGTCACCACCATCATCTCTGTGTCCAGGAGAGAATGCAGGCGTATGGAAAACCAGTGGGGTACCTACCCGCAGGAATTTTCGAGTTTAGAACTGTCAGCAGGCCCTTGGCAGAAGAGCTCACCTTCTCGTTTTTGCTTCCATATTTTTTGGCTCTGAGATCAGATCATTGCCATCTTCTCTAAGCTGAAGGAGGCTTGCCTCTTTTGAAGTCTTTAATATTAAAATGAAGACACCTTTTTGATCTTAAATTGTTAATTGAAGGGAAGTAACTTATTCCTTCAGAGTAATGGCTTAGAGCCAATGAATTCATCCTAAAATCAAGAAACAAAGACGTGTGAATTGTGACATGTACTCAACTCCTGTATGTGTGTGTGTGTGCACTTGTGTGAAGGTAGAGTGATGATGAAAACTTTGTGTAATAATAGACGACCTCTGTGATATTCCAGGGTAGCAGGGTAGGAGAGGCAAACTGTCCTGTGTGGTGTTCAACACAAGGGGCGTGAGTGGTGGCGGTCTGCCCTGACTCAGTCTCTCCCCTGTTATAAATGGGAAGGGCTCCCAGTGTCCTCCAGCCATCTAAACAGGGTGCCACCGAAAGGGAGAGCCCTTACCGAGGCATCCTTACAATGCTTTCTGAAAACGGAGACGTTGTTACCCTCCAAAGAATATTTCTACGACCTGGAAGCCTCATGGGAGGGACCCACCATTCTTTTTTTTTAAGTTTTTCTCCTTTAATCCGTATTATTTTTCATTTCTACATGATCACGCTTGTCTTGAGATGAGTGTTGTAATGATCTCTGACATGAATTGACTAGTTATATATTAGCAGCATGTAACAATTTATTTCCTGAATGCACTTCAGAGATACTTAAAATATAATAATTATCTCAGCCAATTCCCTGAAGACTTCTTGTCTCAGGCTTCTTTTAAATACTGTGTTATATAGTTTTAGCACTAACACAAACCTGTTATTTTAAGCTCTAGAATGCTGGCTGTTAATTTTTGTATTGAAGGTTACATTTTTGTGTCCAGTGTAACAACTGTTATTTAGACTTGTTTTCATTAGAGGTGATGCTTCAAACTAAGTATTAATTTCCTATTTGAGGATAAGAAAACTTGGATAAGTCCTGAAAGTTTAAATTAAACTTGAATGCACATATGGAATGCCATAAGGGGAATCCATAAAACTAAACCCCCTATAACTGGAGTGACAGCCTGCTCCTGTCATCGTGTGTCTTCTCTCTCCGTGTGGCTGTTTCTGTCACTCATTAGAACCATTCTCCCTTTTTATTGGCATCTTTGCTACATAAATGGTAAGGGAAGGAAGAATAAATTAAGTTCTAATTACTCCATTTGCTAGTTGTAGAGAGCTCTGAGGGGGGAAGCCCTCTAATTCATAGTTAAAGTGAAGTGTAAGAATTTTCTGTGACTTTCATTTACTCCCTGTTCTCTTCTCCTTGCCACTTACCATAGTCAAATAGCTAACATAATACTTATTAACACGAACCTGCAAGCTCAGAGTTATTAACATTATTTATCTTGTTTTACTTTCTTGGTAAGAGATTTCTGTCTTAGAGCACTGTTTCCATTCTCTGAAATTCTCAGATTCTAGTCACATTATTACTCTGTTCCTTAATAAATATTTTGTTGGCTAGATATTTATTTATTGTTGTTGGTTGGTTCTGTGTGTATGTGTGTGTGTGTTAATTATCTGAGGTAAAAATATTTGCACTGAAATGTTTTAAAATGCCTTAGGAAACTTGAAGTTTATCTGCTTATTTCTAGGTACTAACGTTGTGTCTGACTATCTTTGTTCACTTCTGTGGAAAGACTGTAGGACCACTGCTCTTTCTTAGTGATGATAAAAACTACCTCTAACTTACGTTACTTCACGTGGCGTCACTCTGAGATGACCCTGTGTGTAATAACCTGTTGAGGATGTTCCCAGATAAATACATCAAGTGATCTCACTTTTTGAAATTGAGGCTTTTGCTCTTTTGGTGGTGAGGCTTGTGTTTATATGAACAACCTTAAAACATATCTGTGATCTCAAAGGCTGTCTTTCAGAAGATGAGTCCTCTGTGTATGTTTGTTTCATTTCCAATCTGACGTTATTGAACGACAGACTGTAGCAACACTTTGGGGGCAGAGTTTGTGTGGGATTCCATGTGTGGGATAAGGGAAATGGGGTGTGTTAGGGAATCTGTGCAAATAAAAATGTTTTTCTTAATGGTTCCAAGGTTCACAAGAGTATTTTTCCCTATTATCACAAGGGTCCCAAATTTGGTAACCTTAGTTGTTAGATAATACCTGAATTGTAAGGAAACACTTCAAACTACAAGATTAAGATCCAGTGCTCTCTTGAAGGATGTAGAAAAATATTAATCTAGCATATGAGTAACCTAGAATTTATAATAAATCATGGGATAACTGAGATTACAGTTTAATATGTCAGAATGTCCCCTAATATATTTTTACTCCTTCAACCTATTGTGGCTGTATGAGTTCTTAGGATGTTCAGGACACTGTGGGGAATACGAACTGAAGGAAGCCCAGCACAGTGAGGGTGGGACAGGTATACCATTAACTCAGAGATAAAACACAGGAATAGCACCCAGAACATAAAATCTGGGTTTGCCAAGAAGAAAAAACATGCTAAAAAGTTATAAAGAATTACTTGTTTGGTATTAGGCATATTGTATACAAGGTCAGCTGTTAAACAGATTGTGTACATTTGCTGAGAGAATGCCAGTAAACTAAAGAGTTTCTTCCACCTGTGCCAAAGGAAAGTCATTTCATTGGGTTATGCCTCCGTTAATAAGGTCATCGAAGCCAATCTGCAGTTTTCACCCCAGCCATGCTGTGTGTAAAACACTGAAGGAATGGCATACAAATCGGAGAGGCTTTGTGCTGAGACTCAGTGTGGCATGAATGCTCTTCCCCAGAACATAGCTACACATAACAGAAGCAAAATATCAGCACAAGCCAAGAATGATGGTTCAGGAAAAATTCACTGGCATTTCAGAGGCAGGAGAAATCCTCGAGTTACTGTGTGGTAATAACAATGCGTCTAAAGCAGTCAAAGTGCTGTTTGCATTTGAAAGCATATTAATACATTGTTTCACAAAATTAGGGCAAGTCACTTAACTTTCTTAGGTTATTGATCTCCTAAAATGAACTACATCATTAACTATGCTTCATGGTTTTACTGATGACAGACAGACACTGTTGCCTGTGTGACTTGTTAAAATTTAATACCCACAATGTCATGTACGCTTTATTATTAATATACTTATTCTTTCATTTACCAAATGTACGAGTGAAAGCATTTTTAATATCAATAATTGTTTGAATATATTGGTATTCTTTTCATATATGTTCACAATATCCTGATTATAAAATTATGGTCAGTTTATTATTAGATTAGAGCCTATGTAATAAATTAGTGTTTCCATATTTCCCTTTTATAGCTGCTAAAAATTTATTAGTTATCAGTAGTACATTAGATACTTTCTCTTAATAAAACAAATTATTACAAATAAAAATCCGTACCACATTTTCTAGAATGAAATTTTAAATATATTTGTGACAGAAACATCGAGGAGAGTTGATTACAAGTTTTACATTGTACCCATTCCAGTAACATGCACAGGATGCCAATTAAGAATGACTTAAATATTCATTATCACAATGAGCATTTGTGTTCTCCTATATGTATCTGTGAGTTAAAAGGCATTTTTTTATATTAAAGGTTTTTATTGAACTTTGTCACAATTAATATGTATTGGAAAATTTTCTCTCTGTAACAAAGTTCAAAAACAGCCTTGTTCTGTTACTTGGTTTATAATCAGAAGCCTACCATAAAATTTTTTTGTTTAAGGATATATTTTGTCATAGTGTAACAATATCTTGAATCTAATGGGAGAGAGAGGAAAGTAGAACTGTACTACAGAGCCTAAGAGTTATAAAATTTAGATTATGTAGCTTTGAAATACAAAAATTGATATAGTTCAAATGTATTCCTTAAACATGTTCCTTTTCATATTTTAAGTTGATAGAGGAGGACATGCATGGCTTTTTTGATTCTGTGTTGTAAAGCTGCAGCACCGCTCTAGAAATAGGAAGTGGGGGGCAATTGGTAGGTCACTGATTGGGTTGCCTAGGGCTGTTCAAGCTGTGGTCCATCCCTTTTGCCCTATCCCCTACCTGCACCTTTTAAGTATTAGTGAGAGTTTGGGAAAGAGCCCAATGATGAAACACTAAAGATTGCTTAACAGTCTTAAAATATGTTTAATTTTTGTTGTGAATATGTCTTTACAAAATTATTCTCTCTTTTCTTCATGTTGCTTTAATTTCATGCTTGTTGGATTTAGTAAAGAGCAGTCCCTGTAATGTAACTGAGCCAGCCTGGAAGTCAAAATTTCCAAATTCTGAGTAATGAAACAGTTTCTCTGTATGTTACAATTTTGGTTTGTGTTGTTTACACACAGAAAATTGTGTATAAAATTGCCTGCACTTTGAAAGCCAGAGCGGGTTTCTAGTTATTTTCACAGTGCTAAAGTTTGAAAGAACACAGGCCTTTCTGATTGTATTCATGTACTGTGTTGCCAAGAATAAAAATGTTGTTAACCCCCGAGAGATACAATGTAGAACACTTATTTGGGAGGAACTGAGGTAAGAATTGTACCCGTGCTGCTTTTTTATTTACTGAATCTTTCCAGAGAATTCTAACGTTTCAATAAAAACTGATCACGTTTGGGAATTGTACTCTTTCTTTAGCTATCCAGATTCGATTTACAGAAATTACAGTACTGCCCCTCAGTATGTTTGAGAATCATGCTGCATTGCATTTCTTTCCTGTAACTTGACACTACCTTGGGTGCTGGTGAATTATCACTGTGGTGTTCTTAACTCTTACGTAAATTATATGGCATTTCACTTGTTATACAAACTGAAATTATATGTTCTTTTCAAAATGATAGATTTTCTAATGCTGCTATTGTTTTAAGGTCTTCCAGAAGTTAAATTCTAAACTAACACTTTGGTTTCCTTTCAGGTCTTTTCCAATGGTCACCTGGGAAGTGAAGAATATGACGTTCCCCCTCGGCTTTCTCCCCCTCCTCCAGCTGCCACCCTTCTCCCTAGCATCAAGTGAGTTTTACTGAATATGGGAGTCCTTTGTCCATGCATAAAGATGTCGTAAATACTGGTTTTGATGTTCTCAGAAGTATAGGGTGAATTCAGATGCATCAGTGAAGATGACCCAGCTGTATTTATAAACTGGAGTACCAGAAATCAAGATCCTCCCTGGTTCTTTGCTGGTAACCCCAGAACCCATGAGACCCCACCTAACTCTCTGATACAGAGAGAGTAGCAGGGAGAGAAAGTGTTGTCTTCCCTGCGGCCAAGAAAATCGTAGGGTAGCACATAGCACAGCAGGTTCTCCCTTCCAGTGCAGCTCTTTTCTCAAAGATAACAGTTTTTCCCAGGTACCGATTGTGACATCATAAAATAATCTTTGGTTCCTCCAATTTTCTTATTTCTCAAATCTACTGATCCATTAAGTCCTGTTGATTGTTCTTTCGAAGTTTTTTATATTCAACTAATCTTCCCCATTGCCTTTGCTTCTCCTCGTAGCTGGAAAACTGAACAGGCCTTACACTTATCATATGATATGATCTCAGAATTAATATTACTAGACTTTAAAACTGGGAAAATGAGTTAACACAGGTGTCTCATTTAAAAACCGGGCACACAAGGGCACAATGGACAGTACATACACACACACTCCAAACCAAACTATGATGAGAACAGGCCTCCCGAGTCCCGTGCGCCTACTCTTTATATTAAGTCAGGCTGCCTGCCTTTCCTCCGGTATATTTTGTTCTCACTGCTGATTCAATTTAAACTCTGCTTTCCCCAGATCACCTTCCTGTTCAAAACCCAGCATTGTTCTTTCTTCCCTTCTCAATTATTCTGTTCTTCTGCTAGCAGTAAGATCCCTAGAATTATACCCAGTTATAATGTTGTTCAGTAATTCCTAATGTGGGCCTCTAATCTTCTCTTGATATTTTTTCTGGCTTTGTGAGTTTTCATTCTGTCCCATCCTATGCACCACTTTTTCAGAATCTTTATTCTATAAAGTCGTGTCTCCGCCTCTATTTCGTTATGAAAACTTGAGTGATTTCTTCAGGCTTGATGCTAGTAGTAAAACTGATCCTCGCTCCTGCTGCAGTTTATTTCCTACACCTTTAGTTATATACTCTGCTGTACTGTTTTATAATTTTTAAGTGTTGTTCCACATTAAAAAGATTGTAAGTTTCTGAGGGCAAAACCCTATTTTTGTATTCTGTGATTCTCCCGTAACACCTGACTGTTTTTGCTGTACATTCAGTGCTGAGAATACGTGGTTGCGTGGCTGGTTGACTTCCTCTGCTGAGATTCTCATTTCTAAATGAAAGTTTTAGAGCATCTTCATTCCTTCCTCTGGTGGTCACTGAGCTCCGCTGTACAGATGAATGCGAAAGAAGGATGAGCTAGATAGCAACTCCCCCTAAAATTTACAATCTACTTTATAATGAAGTTAGCATACATGAAACCACTAGAGAACAATATGCACTAAATTGTGTGACTCCTAATGTTTTAGTTTTTATGTCAGCTTGGAGGATAGGCTATTGTAGACTTTGCAAGGCAAGGATGTTTTATAGAGAGGATGGAAATTTCCTGAATCATGGAGAGTAGGTACAATCGCAAAAGGGGGAGCACATGAGAAAAAGCAGGAGTGTGAAATTTGGCATCGTTCAGAGGACAGTGGAAAACTAAGCTAATAGGACCATTCTCCAGTGGCAACTTTTTTGGGAACTGCCAGGTCCATAGTAGACATACAGGCTGGAAGCACATGCATGCAATCTTGGTAGTAGGCTCTGAATCAGTAACAGCATGTGGCATTCTAGCCTCAAATGGACTCTGCTACATTGTATGTACTAAAACATCTAAGCTCAACTACCTTGAGAATGGAGGGGAAACCAGAAAGTGAAGTAAATGGAACTTGTTATTAAAGGTTAAATGGTCACATTGTCTTTATTTAATTCATATTGGCAAGTGGGATAAGAGGCAGAGGTTGCAGTTTGCTTCCTTTGTATTTAATAGCAAGTACCTATTTCTTTATAAAGAGTAAGAATAATAAATTCACAGTAAAATATATTTGTTGACTTCTTAAAATCCTTCAGTTTGTATGTTATGTAGATATACTTTCTCCCTTTTTTGTCTTGATTTTTCCAACAGAAATAATGCAGTTGCTTTAATGAACCAGAGAAATATTTTAGCAATGCATGCTTAGTAGCAAGGTAGTTTTGTGTTTAGCATGCTGCAAATTAGCCGTAGTTAATAAATACAAGTGTTGGCTTTTAATGGCACATTTATCTCTCTGATTTATTTCTTATTTTTATTATTAGGTAGCAGTTAGTCATTGTAAAAATAAGGAGAGTATTAATATATAAAGGAAAGAAAAGAATAAATACTTAAATGCAGATATATGCATTCCCCCAAATATCAATGATCAGTTTTAACATTTTGTCATTTTTTCTTTTAAGACTTTTTAAAACGTAATTTTTAGATTATTTTGTACAGATAATTGTATGCCCTCCTTTGCCACTTAATAATTAAATAAGCATTTTTCTTAAGCCTTTATGCACATTACATATTATAAAACCAGCATCGAATTCTAAATGAACATGAAATAAAAGCAGACCTGGTCCCAGACCTGACACCAGCACTAAGTATATGTTTGTCTCTGAACAAGGTCACTTCTCTGGGACTCACTTTTCTCCATTTGCTAAATGAATGGATCCATTTATTTAAATAATCTCCAAAATGAACTTCTGCTTTTTAGGTTCTATGCAATTTTTTCTAAGAGAGAGAAGGGAAGAGATGGAGGAAGAAAAGGAGAGAAACGCCAATCAGTTGCCCTTGGAATATGCCCCAAACCATGCATGTGCCCTGACCGGGGATCGATCCTGCAACTTTTTTGTTTTGTGGGAGGATGCCCAACCAACTAAGCCACACCAATCAGGGCTACACAATATTTTTAAAAGAGTACTCAACTGTACTGTTAATTATATATTGAAATATTTGGCAACTTGAATATTCATTTATAGTTGGTCAGTTGTATACTTTTGCTGAAGCCAATGTGAGTTGGATTACTGCCCTAGTTTTTTTATTTCTTAAAATTTTGTCAGCTGGCCTCATTAGAGTTTATAACTGAAGTACAATGAGTAAAGATCCTCAGTTCTGGAGGGGCATAGAACAAAGGTCTTGACAAAATTAACTCACTGAAGTAGGGAGTTTGATGTTCACGTACCTATTTCTATCTTAGTGCATGTTTCAAACTCAGGCCAGAGCAGAGTTATAGATCACTGCCTAACATAGGCTATTGCAGTGCTCACAATTATTGAAAGCTCAATGTTGAATTAATGTCAAAAATACCATTTACCACCCTGGTTGATATAGCTCAGTGGATTGAGCACGAGCCTATGAACCAAAGGGTCACTGGTTTGATTCCCAGTCAGGGCATAATGCCTGGGTTGCGGGCCAGGTCCCCGGTTTGGGGCATGCAAGAGGCATACACACATTGATGTTTCTCTCCCTCTCTTTCTCCTTCCCTTCCCCTCTCTAAAAATAAATGAATAAAATCTTTTAAAAAATACCATTTGCTTTAAATCTGTACCATGTTCATGTAAATATTTACTGAGGTTTCATTGTTAAATTATTTTGTATTACTCTGATTCCCATTTACTTGATATTAAGAGGTTACTCTGTGATGGTGTTTACTTGTTTGTAAAACTGTATGTTTGTAATTATGTGACTTTTTCTTTTAAGATTTTATTAATTATTTTTAGACAAAGGGGTAGGGAGGGAGAAAGAGAGGGAGAAAAACGTCTGTCTGTGGTTGCCTCTCATGCACCCTACACCTGGGACCTGACCTGCAACCCAGGCGTATGCCCTGACCAGGAATCAAACTTGCAGCGCTTTGGTTCACAGGCTGACACTCAATCCACTGAGCCATACCAGCCAGGGCTGTGACTCTTACTGTGTAGTATATTTTGAGACCTAGAAGAAGCTGTACTTTTTATTGTTTTCAGTTATAAAAGCTGAAACTTTACTACTGTGTATAAGTTTACTTATTTTTTCTTAAACTGTTTTTCTAAATTGCTTCTATTAACCTTGCATTTAGCTATAAATTTTTAAATAAAATCTTGAAATATAGTTAATTAGTTTTTTGGTTGTGGAAGAATAAAAAAATCTTCGTGGATTATTTATACTTTGTGGTATAGAATTTTCTAAATTATTTTCAGTCATGAAATAATTTGACTTTTCAAAATTAAACAATATAACCTGAAACAGTTAAAAATATTTAGTGTATTTCACATAAGATAAAATGTTGGAAAATGAGCAAAGGAATTATTGCAAGTATAATGGAATAGTACTTCCAGGTAGGATAATGTTCTGGAATGCTGAGGAAGTTTTTTTTTTAAGAATATATTTCTTTTGCCTTGTCTTTTAGAAATGGACCTTTTGTACTTTTTGATATATTAAGCTTTCAAATACATACAAACCAATATTATGTGGTTCATATATTTATAAAAAGGCTTTTTGTTGTTGGAAGTGGTAGTGTTGACTATTGTCATATATTTTTCTAGACATACAAGGTTGCTAATATTTTAGGTTCAGTAAATTAGGGAGTCAAATTTTGCCTGTCCTGCTTTCGTTCAGTTGCATGTGCTGACTGGAGATTTAGTGTGAACAAGATAAGAATGCCATCCTGGAGCTGGTGCTCTAGTTAGGGAGAACAGAAAGGAAACAGTGACTATAGCATATTGTCAGGTAGTGGTAAATGCTAGGAGAAAGAGTAAAACAGGGAGGGGGTTAATGGTGATAGGTTTATACTTTACAGGAGCTCATCAGGAAAAGTAGTCTTTTAACAGAAACCGGAAAAGTCAAGGAGAGAGCCCCGAGGTTATCTGAGTGACACGCATGCACGGACTTCCATTCAAAACAGTGAGACAAGTGAGTCCTTTTGTCATATTTGAAGAAGAGCAAGAAGGGCAGTGTGGCTGGATTACGGTCTGCAGGAGATAAATCATGCCTGTAAG